GAAGAACATGCTCAGCATGTCTCAAGCTGGGGGAACTGAAGAAAAAAATTCAAGTCTCGACTTTCGTTATTGAAGGATTCTCTGGGAAAATTATTGAATGATGCAGACAGCATCAAAGAAGATGGAAGGAATACACAGAGTCACTGTACCAAAAGGGATTGGTTAATGTTCAACCGTTTCAGGAGGTAGCATATCATCAAGAACCATTGATACTGAAGGAGGAAGTCCAAGGTGCATTGAAGGAATTGGCAAAGAACAAGGCACTAGGAATTGATAGAATAAAAATTGGAATCTTTCAAAAAAGTGAGGTGGAACAGGAGGCACTCATTCATCTCTGCCAAGAAACTTGGAAAATGACTATCTGGCAGACTGGTTAAAAGAGATCCCTATTTGTGCCTAGTCCAAAGATAGGTGACCCAACGGAATGCGGAGATCATCGGACAATCTCTTTGGTATCACATGTGAGTAAAGTTTTACTAAAGGTAATACAGAAACGGCTATAATCATACATTGACTAAGAACTTCCAGAGGTTCAAGCTGGATTCAGAAGAGGCCGTGGAATGAGGGATATCACTGCTGATGTCCGATGGATTTTGGCTGAAAGCAGTGCTTTACTGACAAAGGATTTCAATTTTGTGGATCATGACAAGCTATGGACAACATTGCAAAGTATGAGTATTCCGGAACACTTAATTGTGCTCATGAGGAATCTGTACCTGGACCAAGGGGCAGTTGTTCAAACAGAACATGGGAACACTGAATGGTTTCAAATTAAGAAATGTGTGCAACAGGGTTGTATTCTTTCACCATACTTATTCAACCTGTATGCTGAGCAAATAATCTGAGAAGCTGGGTTCTATGAAGAAATACGTGGTGTCAGGATTGGAGGAAGACTCCAATATGCAGATGATACAACCTTGCTTGCTGAAAGTTAAGAGGACTTAAAACATTTACTGATGAAGATCAAAGAGCACAGTCTTAGGTATGGATTACATCTCAATATAGAGAAAACAAAAATCCTCACTACTGAACCAATAAACAACATTCTTATCAACGGAGAAAAGATTGACGTTGTCAAGGACTTCATTCTTCTTGGATCAAATATCAACACTCATGGAAACAGCAGTCAAGAAATCAAACGCCGTATTGCATGCATTAGGCAAATCTGTTGGACAAGACCTTTTTAAAGTGTTGAAGAACAAAGATGTCATCTTGAAGACTAAGGTATGCCTGACCCAAGGTATTTTCAATAACCTCATATGCATGTGAAAGCTGGACAGTAAATAAGGAATACCATAGAACTGATGCATTTGAGTTATGGTATTGGAGGAGAATATTGAAAATGCCATGGGCTGCTAGAAGAACAAACAGTTCTGTGTTGGAAAAAGTACAGCTAGAACGCCCCTTAGTAGCTAGGATGGCAAGACTTCCTCCCTCATACTTTGGACATCTTATCAGGAGGGACAAATCTCTGGAGAAAGACATCATGCTTGGAAAAGTGGAGGGTCAGTGAAAAAGAGGAAGACCCCCAATGAGATGGATTGGCCCAGTGGCAGCAGCAATGGGCTCAAGCTTAACCATAATTGTGAGGATGACGCAGGACTGGAAACTGATTCTTTCTGTTGTGTGTAGGATCACTTTGAGTTGGAATCAACTGGACAGTATCTAACAATAACATGAGTTGGAAATGACTCGATGGCAGTGTGTGAGTACCTAGATTCCTTCAGACTCGACCTCTGTCTTTCCCCTCTTATGATCCCGCTGCATGACCTTCCTATGTCACTGTCATAAACAGCTATGTGTGGAGTCCTGTGGGACCATCATGGCCGTAACTTGAGAACTTCTGACACAATCACCAGTGGGAAGATCAGCTAAGGTCTTCTGATCACATTATAAATGCTGCCGAGAAGTTGAAATTTCAAGTTTATTGATGACTGCTGTGAAATTAGAGCAACTATTAAACCTGCCATGAGATATTTTTTGTTGTTTAATGTGTTAGTTAATAATAGAACATGCTTATTATACCACATTTAAAATCGTTTTAATAATTAACATTTTTAATACTATGTTGTTGTAGTTAAGTGCCGTCGAGTCGATTCCGACCCATAGCGACCCTGTATAGGGTTTCCGAGGAACAGCTGGTGAGCTTGAACTGCCGACCTTGCCGTTCAAATGGCTTTGCAGTCTAGCGCATCAACCCAGGACTCCTTTACTTCAACATAATTCATCTTCTTTTTACTTGTAAATAGCTTATTTTCTGGATGTTTTTGAGAGCTTGATTCTGAGATGTCCAGAGAATTCACTAGACTAACAAAGAGGTCCATGACACACAAAAAATATTTAAGAATCTCTTGCAAAGGACTAGATGTATTAATTATCCATAAGTGAATGGACACGCTGGGCCTTAAACTTCATCCAAGGACAAGGAAGAACTAATTCTATAGATTGCATGTAAAGGGGAAGCAGGAGCCAACAAAAATGTTGCTTTATGATTTCATGCCATACTTGTTCAATTTGACAGGCACATATCTATAACATGTCTAAATGATGGACTATGACTGAGGGCTTGTAGTGATACTTTGTTTGGAGAGACTATAAATTGTACCTTATAGAATGTAGGGGTCCTTGAGTGGTGCAAATAATTAACCAAAAGGTTGAAGGCTGGGGTCTACCTAGAAAAAAGGCCTGATGATCTATATTTGAAAACAATCACTGAAAATCCTATGGGGCACAGTTCTATTCTGATGCACATGGGATCACCATGAGTCAGAATTGACTTGATGGTGGTTTATAGAAAGTAAGTTTAGTATTATTATTATCTTTCTCTCTTTCAAATCCACTGTACAGAAAAAATTCCCAAAATAAAATTCTGAAAAATCTTATACTTCACTGACTACTCTTGACATTACTTGAGTGTAGAGACTTTCTTCCACACAACTAAAGAAAGTGCAAATGAAGATAAAACAAAGTCCTCTTCCCCAATACTTGCTGTTGTTAAGTGCCTTTGAGTTGGTTGTGACTCATAGTGATCCTGTACAGGGTTTCCAAGGAGTGGCTGGTGGGTTTGAACCATCAACCTTGCAGTTGTTTATCCTACAGCACCACCCCAACAATGGCCTATTAAAATACTAAATGTCTTCATGCTACCTACAAAGATAACTTAAAATTGGTTTATACAAGGTAGGTTATTTAGGAGCCTTGGTGGCGTAATGGGTTATGCATGCATTGGACTACTAACCACAATGATAGTAGTTCAAATCCACCAGCCACTCCATGGGAGAAAAAGGAGGCTGTCTGCTCGCATAATGATTACAGCCTCCAGAACTCTACAGAGGGTCACTAGGAGCTGGACTCGACTTAATGGAAGTGGGTTTGGTTTGGGTGGGTAGCTAGGTTATTAATAATTTAAAGAGCCTTGCTTAAGCCTTGACAAAAGTCTTTTTCATCAAGTTAACACATTAAAATGCACGATATAATGTTACAAATTTAATTTTAGTAGCTTCAGTTGAGAGTCGATATAAAACAACAAAGAAAACCAGAACCTTCGCCATCAAGTGGATTCTGACTCATGGTGACCCCATGTGTTATAGACTAGAACTGTGCCATAGGGTTTTCTTGGCTGTAAACTTTAGGGAATCAAATCAACAGGTCTTTCATCCTTGACACTGCTGGGTGGGTTCAAACTGTCAACTTTCAAGTTAGTAGCCAAGAGTAAACTGTGTCACCCAGGGACTTTCAGAAAGTCAACAAACTTGTGAAAACAACTAATTAGGGTAGTGTTCTCTCTTCCTGTAAACATGTACAGACATATGGACTGGACGTATTTGTCAATGTTTCCCTTCACAACAAAACAGCAGGGAACAGGATTTTGTCAGTCTGTAACTAAAGTTTGTTATCTTTAATTGAATGCAAAAATACTGTGCATGTACAAAGAGTAAGAAAGTTTATTGTACAATAGTTTATACTCTTCTGCCCACAGTGCCTTATCCTGCACAGTGGAGTGCACTTGTGTGGTCCCCAGGTTTTCATAACTTCGTACAGAGCATTTCCAGCATCATATCATCCATGCTCACTGAGCCAATGATGGGTCTGAAGAACAGTTCAGTAATGACACCGGCATTAATGAGTCTCAGCAGGGAAAGTGCACAATTCAGTTCCATGATTCTGGCCTGGTGCCCTCTGTGTGTCATCCTGACATGTTCGTTGAGTATCTGCTGAGTTCCCTGTTGAAGTCCCTGAATGTACTTTACACAGTGTAGGCCTGGCAGGTCTGGAGGAGAAAAAAGGGAGAAAAAAACTTTTTGTTTACAAAGGGCTCACCTTAAACAAGAGCTCACACTTCTGAGTTTTAACCAGGGTCTTCTAAAACACGTAAAAAATGGCAAACAAATGACAAGTCTTCAGAAGCAAAGCTTTTAAGAATGAGGCATCATGAAAGTACTCTTATTTGTTGTTGTTAAGTGCCATCAAGTCGGTTCTAACTCAAAATTACCCTATATAGGGTTTCTGAGGAGCGGTTGGTGAGTTTGAACTAGCGACCTAGTGATTCAAACCAACCTTGCAGTCCAGTGCTTAGCCTACAGCACCACACCAGTATTCACTATTACTCTGATGTGTATAGTTTGCTATGAATCAGAATGCACTTTACAGCAACTGCTTTTTTTTGTTTTATGATTATATGTTCTCATTTAAAAGACACTGGCCATGAGCCAACAAATACTTTAGTGTGAATTTGGTGCTGTATGATAAGCACTTGACCACAAGGTCGGTTTGAACTGCATGGTTGGTGATTCAAACTCACTAGCCATTCCTCAGAAACCCTATACAGGATTGCTATGAGTTGGAATGACTCAATGGCACATAACAACAACAGCAACAATTATAGTATTTAATGCTAATATAGTAATAATATGCTCAGTATACTATTTTAATGCCTTATCGTTTATTGAATCACTATATGCAAATATGAAGATATTCATATTATTTCAGAAGGTAAGCACTTTACCTTTTGCATATGGGAATATGACAAGAAATTTTGCCAGATCATAAGTATTTAACCATCCTTCCTCAAATTTCCTACCATTATAATGATTATCCAGTTGATGGTGGTAAACTGCACAGACACAAATGGAAACTCATAGGTCTCATTTAACTATTTGTCTACAGGTTTATTTTCATCTAAAGCCCATCATAATTGAAAAGATAGCTCTGGGCACTTAGCCCACTGTACTATGGCTTCTGTATTGATGGTTATTTTCTTTAAAAAAAGAGAGTGAGTGATTATAATGAGCATCCCCAAAGTTTCTTTTAAAATATGCTATTTTAAAGTATGAGGTCTTTGAAAGCATTATCTTACAGTCATTCAGAAGCTGAAAATTAAACATGAAAACATCATCTGATCAAAACATGGTTCCAATGCAACTTTCCTTGTAGAAAATGTACTGCCGTCTAAGTGAAATGTGTCTAAAAAAATTGCTATAACAGTAATATTGCTGTGAAGTTCTCCAACTTGTATTTAAAAATTGCCTGTCAGACCTATTGGTTGAACAATGTCAATGACGGTTTCAACAGTTTTTCTTCCCTTTTTCTACAAAATCCAACAGACAAGTATTTTTAAAGCACCATGCTAAAAGTCACGGAGTAGCAGAAGCAGTCAATGCTCATGAGACAATAATGATATCAGTAGCTCCGAGTCACTCCTGTTACAGGCAGATATCTGATTTGGTAAGTAAAATGAGAACAAAATAAAGCCACATTTCTAATCCGGATTCCCATTCTGATCACTCCAGTCCACACACTGACATCTCCTACTACCTACAACTCAATATGCAGACGTGAGAACCAGTTTCATCATGTTTGAATTCCATTTAGCAAAGTAAGAAGAGGCTGGTTTAGAATTATTCCAGTAATCGGAGGCTTCTTGAGCTCTAGATCTATGGCTGAGAAAACTTCATCTTGTGAACTCCACATTGTTTTTCTTTGCTTTCATATCACGCCCCTGCTTTAATCCCCATTAAGTGCTTTCTTGGAAGCAGGCTTGCCTTCAAAGTGAACTCAGGAAAGGGAAAAAGCAGATAGATATACGCCATCATTTTGTGTGTTTTTAAAGAAAGTAGTTTTAAGCATAATGATCAGGGAATATCAGAAGGCACAGCAAGGCCACAGACTTAACACGTATTATTTCCCCCCCAAAGTAAGTGCGTTTGTATTTTAAACACACTCACCTTATCTGGTTAAACTCGTATTGAAAGAGGACCTTAGAAAGCCGACAGAGAAGATGGGAGATTTGTGTTGTGCACGTGTATGTGTGTTATGTGTGGTATGTGCTGGGGGTGGAGAGAAGGGAAATTGACCAATGTATGCAAACTAGGGCCCAGGGAAAGAGGGGACTAGTTGGAATGCCCTTGTCTCATCTTCCTATCCCAACAGAACAAACAAGGAAATAATGGATGCTTACTAACACTAGCTGAAGGACCAAGTAAACACTGTTTTCTAAATGATCTTTAAAACCTGGAAGCAATTATTATAAATGCAGATTTGCAGACCATGGGCTGGAGCTACTGAATCTCTAATGGAGGGACCTAGAGACACTTAACAACTCCCCAAGTGCTTCTTGAACACAGGAAAGACTGGAAAACACTGAGATGAACAAAATGGCTACCTATAGTGGTCACAGGCAGGGACTGAGCTCTCCAGGTCCTGAAACATGAGGTATGGATGAATTATTATCCCACCCAGTACTGCTCCAGACTCATTCCAAAAATGCTGGGCCAAAGGCAAGGTCATGACCAGGAAAAAGGGACATGAAGGGAGCACTATAAAAGCGATCCTAACTCAAGTTACTTAGAAACTTCCTTCCCACTGCAATCCTTTTAGAAAGGAGGAAAGGAACATCTGGCCCTCAGGTCACACTGTTGTTGTTAAGTGCTGTTGAGTCAATTCCAACTCATAGGGACCCTGTAGTGTTCCTGAGGAGCAGCTGGTGAGTTTGAGGCCCGTGAAATCATTTGATCTGGCCCTGCTAAGGCAACCGCAGTTCCAGTCATCACATTGGTGGTGGTGTGCAGTGGAGTTGGTTCCAACTCATAGCGGGCCTGCATAGGGTTTCTGAGGCTGTAAATCTTTAAGGGAGCAGAAAGCGTCATCTTTCTCCAGTGGAACAGCCAGTAGTTTCGAACTGCTGACCTTGAGGTTAGCAGCCCAACTCGTAACCACTACACTACCAGAGGTCCGTAGTCATCACAGTGTTGTTGTTGTTGTTATGTGCCGTGGAGTCGGTTCCAACAGGGGTGAGTTAATTAAATGTTTGACCGAGTATAGCTGGCTAATTTTTAAGTTAATAATTTTGTATGTCCTGCAAATAAATATCCAAACGGCCCTTAACAGAAAAAAGGTTCCCATCCATTTTAGAAGGATGCTGGTTGAAGAGAACTCTAGCAGTAGGACATACCCAAGACCAGGGTTTCTCCAGATATTCTCCTATGAATTTGGTGGCACTTGGAGAGGGAACGGGGAGCAGAGTGTTGAACAAACCCCAAAGAACCTGTAAGTGTGGTGCAGTAAACATCTCACTGGTCCTAGGAAACAGGACAGCTCCACAAATCGCCAGCCATTTATTCTGGAGTAAGGTTTCTTGAGATTTCGCTATCTAATCTGTAAAATGGGGAAGGTGGAGGGCAGAGGGAGTTGATTAGCAGGTCACAAGGGCGGCGAATCAAACTCCCCAACCACTCCTGGGAAACCCTATAGAGGGTTGTTATGAGTCGGAACTCGACAGCACTTAACAAGAACAAAAACAATGGGTTACTTCAGTGTCTCTTTCTTGCTCCTTTGCTAGCCTAACACTAACCCACTTAGAGGAGGGGATAATGTGGATGCTTTTGATCACAAAAATGACCATTCAGAGACAGAGATTCGGGAAGGGAAACACTAAATCCAGTGTCCTGTCTGACTGTCCCTAGGGGGTCATCTCTCTGTGGGTCCTTGCCTAAGGCTTCATTTCTGCCACTCTTTATAGTTTCCCTCCAACAAAGAGGCTGTTATCAAATTTCACAACTAGTTTTCAGATAGGGAAGGTTGCAGAATTTGCAGTGAACAAAAACTTTGGTAAAGCTACGCGTCTGGAGTGCAAAGAAAACTAGAGAAGGAATTGTTAGCTCCATGAAGACATCAACTTTTCTCATCAATCCACCCACAAGGAGTGGTTCCTGCAGTCCCCCAACTTAGCTGAATTGGTCCCGATTCATCATTACCTGTGCCCGGACACTCCCCTGACCGCCCTGTGCCCCCACCCCCACCCCCCATAGGTACTGCCCAACGCTGTTCTGAGCCTCGGGGAGAAGCAGGTGCTCGAGGTCAATGCCCTTACCGGGGTTAAAAAGCACGGTTCCCTTGAGGTAGGCGTACTCCTTGGTATTGATATTCAGACTCCAGCACTTGGCAAAGAAGCCTTTGATGGCTTGAACCTCAGCTGCTGAAGGCAGTTGCCTGGCCTCCGGTGGCGGTGCCCATAGGGGTTGCGACATAGGCAGGGACAGCGGCTCCTTGCCCGTGGTATCCCGCCGCCTGGTGGTGAGTATCTTCTGCAGCATGCTAGGCTCGGTGGTCTCCACCGTTTCGAAGTGCAGGCGGTCCTGGGCCAGCTCTAGCAGGAGCAGCGGCGCCCAGCAGCTGCGCACTAGCACCAGCTGCTGGTCCAGGGGCAGCACCTGGAAACAGGGCAAGTATTTGACGAAGTGCAGCGTTTTCAACAGGCCGGCCGAAGCCGCCTCGCAGACCAACCGGGGGCTCTTGAGCGCCACCGGCCTCTGCGCGCCACACAAGGGGCCCCACCATGGGGTCCGTGGCTGCGCCTCCGGCGCCTCCAGAGCCGAGTGTGTTTCCTTCGCGCTCTTAGGCAGGTTGTAGAGCTTGCTGCCCTGGCGCGGGTGGTCGTCACTGTAGAAGCAGTAGCGGGGCAGGCGCTCTGCGGACGCTCCGCCCGGCAGCCCCTCTTTGCCCCCTAGCCTCTGCGCACCATAGGGACGGCCGCACCGCGGGACCTCCCGCAGCGCCTCGGGCGTCTCTGGAGCCACGTGTGTTTGCTTGGCGCTCGTGAGCAAGCTGTAAAGGATGCTACCCTGGCGCGGGTGGTCGTCACCGCAAAAGCAGCAACGGTACACTAGCGCCACGGCCCGCCCGCCCTGGAGTCCTTCTCTGCCCACCAATGGCTCAGCGCCGCAAGAGCAGCCCCAGCACGGGGCCTCTGGTTGAGCTTTGGGCGCCTCCGGAGCCGCATGCACTTGCTTGGCGCTTGTGAGCATGCTGTAGAGGATGCTGCCCTGGCGCGGGTGGTCATCACCACAGAAGCAGCAGCGGTACACAAGCGCCACTGCCCGCTCGCCCAGCAGCCTCTCTCTGCGCTCCCATTGCTCCCCGCCGCACGAACAGCCCCAGCACGGGGCTCGCAGCTGCGCCTCGGGCGCCTTGGGCGCTTCGGGCGCTTCGGGCGCTTTGGGCGCTTCGGGCGCTTTGGGCGCCGCGTGGGTTTGCTTGGCGCTCATGAGCATGTTGTAGAGGATGCTGCCCTGCCACGGGTGGTCCTCGTCCGCCATGGCCCGCGGCGCCTGCAGCCCCGCTCTGCCCAGTGGCCGCCGCCTGGGACCTATTTATAGGGAGAGCGCGAGCACGCGCGTCGTCCGCCTCCGCCTGGCCAAGGGAGCGGAAGGGGGCGCAGCACTGCGCTCCAGGGTGAACGCCCATGACCTCGGAGCTTCAGAGGGGGCAGGTGCTCTGAAAGGCTGGGAATAGAGAAAAATGTAGGCAGGAGAACTCCCAGACACTTCCCTCTGGCCTCTCATTCTTTCCTTCTCTGCTTTTTGGGAGACAGGAGCAAAGCACCAGAAGCAAAGAGTTGGAGCGCTGTTTGAACTCTTTCTGTTATGCCCTGACAATAGAATTTGCTGTTTTATTGGGCGGGCGGGCGGGCAGGGGTACTTTAAAAAGTGGGAAATCTATTTATATGCCGTTTTTGTAAACTTTTATCAAATGATCACTGTGTGTGTCACTTGTATTTTGTATCTGGATAGGGAGGACTCGTTTTCTCGCATCTTGGAAAATATAGACCAGGTACCAGCAGTATCAGGGGCATTGGTGGCGCAGTGGTTAAGCGTTAGACTGCTAACCTAAAGGTGGGCAGTTTGAACTCACCAGCCACAGTCGGCTTCTGTAAAGCTGTACAACTTTGGAAACCGTCTGGGGCAGTTCTACTTTGTCTGACAGAGTTACTAAGAGACAGAATCCATCCATCCATCCATTCATTCATTCATTGGGTTTGGTTTTACCAGGAGTCCTAGTGTAGCTCTGTCAGAAAAGCTCTGATCTGCTCACCTCAAAGTTGGCGGTTCAAACCCACCTGCTGCTCCTTAAAAACCCTATACAGGGTAGCTATGTGTTGGAACCTACTCAAGGGCACTTAACAACAACAAGCAGCAGCATCTGGGTACTTGTTAGAAATACACAATCTCAGACCCCAATCAAAATTTCTTATTCTGAATCTGCACTATAACAAGCTCTCCAGGGGTTTTGCATGCACTTAAAAGTTTGAAGTCATCAGGTTTCATTTTAATTCAATAAGTATTTATGAGCATCCAATATGTTCTCCATGCTGTTAGAAAGATGGGGCAGCATCCCCAGTCTGAGCTAAAATGTCATGTAGCCTCTACTATCCTCTTAGAGATAATCCTTTGGGTAGATGTGTACTTAATGTTTCTGAATGCCCATAAAGATTTATAGCCTCGGAAACTCTGTACAGGGTCACTATGAATTGGAACCAACTCCACGGCACACAGCCACCACCACCACTTCCTCAGCAAATAAATAAATAAATAAAATCAGGAAGCCTGAAGCCTTTGCCATACAGATGCCTTCCTAAAGTCCCAGACAGGTATTGAGCTCACTGGGTCACCCCATACCACCACCTGTCTCTTGTGAAACTAGCTGGTTGCTTCATCAAATACCTGCGTAACCTCAAAGTCACAATCTTCTGGTCCTCAAATCCCTTCTTTCTAAAATTCAAGGTTTATGCTAGTGATCTATTTGGGCCTAAGACTAAAGATGTTGAAGAGAGTAGGGAATTGGAAACTGGTGTAGTGTTCCCCTTTTTTAAAATTTCTCAGGGACCTGGGATTCTGAGCATAGCAGGGAAACATAAGAGACCCCTGTTTTGTATTCAACCTGATATTTTGTTCTGCTTGTGAGAGACTTCTATTGCACAAGGGCATCAAGTTACCTTAATTTTAGTTTTGGCCTGCCACTTTGTAGTTCTGTGACCTTGGGCAATGTGTTAGTTTCCTCTCCCGTGGTAACAAATTATCACAAATTTGGTGGTTTAAGACAATGCACATTTATTATGTTACAGTTTTGGAGGTCAAAAATCGGAAGTCAGTTTCACTGGACTGAAATCTAGGTGGCATTCCTTCTGGAGGGTCTAGGGGACAATCTGTTTCTTTCTCTTTTCCAGCTTCCCGAGGCTGGCCACATTCCTTGGCTCTTGGCCATATGATTCCAAACTCTGCTTCCTTCATCATATCTCCTCTGACTCTTTTAAGGATCGTTGTAACTTTTGGGGCAAATCCAGTTAATTCAGGATAGTTGCCCTACCTCAAAATCTTTAACATAATCACATCATCAAAGTCACTTTGCCACATCAAATAGCATAGTCACGAATTCTGAGGATTGTTGTTGTTGTTAAGTGCTGTCGAGTCGGTTCCAACTCATCGCGACCCTTTATAGCGTTTCTAAGGAGCAGATGGTGAGTTAGAACCAGTGACCTTGTGGTTCAAACCAACCTGTTTATCCTGCAGCACCACACCAGTACTCCTTTTAGCAGATAAGGTGAGACAACTTCAGGGTAAGGTGGCAATAATGCACCAGCACCACCATTAGGCCTCAGAAACCCTATACAAGGTCACTATGAGTTGGAACCAACTTGACGGCATTTAACAACAATAACAACAGGGAATAACAACAACAATACGCTCACTCCTTACCACCGCCACCGGAAGCTGTCTACTTTTTCTGTCTGTGCACATTCTGCAAACACCGTATAGGTCAGTTGGTGCGCAACCATAATGCATATTGGCAATGCTCCAACCTTCAAGCTACTACTATTGTTGCTTTAGGCATCTTCTTCATGAATCCATAGATCAGCTTAGCTGAAAAACCTTGCCTAACTCAATGTCAACCTTTAGTAGCCAGTAGTGGTGACTTTTAATCCTATTACTCAGTTTTAATTTCTTCCTAATTCTTATCAGAACCTTCCTTATCTGATTGATTTATTTAGTTGTTCAATGCTTGTTGATTGTCTCCCTCTCTCCCCCACTAATATGAAAGTCCCCTGAGGGATAGAGCTCTATCACACTGTATTCTAGTAACAAGAACAATGTCTGGTACACAGTAGGTACTGAAGAATTTTGTTGTTGTTGTCAATTATACCTTTAGAGAGAGAAAAAGATCTAACTTCTATCCTTGGCAAGCATCACCACACAGCAATTACTGCATTACCCCAGAGGGAAGAGAAGTTAGCAGGCCCTGTGGGTTTCATAGCTTTCTGGAGGTCTATTTTGATAATCAGAGTGGGCCAGACACTATGGTAAAGTAACAAGACACTTGCGTTGACACTGGTTCACTTTTTAATGATGTAACATTGAGGAAAGTATTTAATATGAGCCATTTCATCTGTGAAAAAAATATCATAGAAGCTCATTTCAATATATGAACCCTGGCCCTATATCCTTCAAGGAACTTTCTGAACTCTTTGCATCTCGTCAATTCTAATTAAAATATCCTAGTAACTTAAACCCATTTTTTTTTTTTTTTACTTTAATTCAATCATTCATACTTCACACATTTTTGATGCCTTTGACTTTCAGGCATTGTCTAGAATTGAAACTAAAGTGCATGAACTTGTAACATATTGGCTATAATTCTTGTTCTTTCCCATGAGCAGAATCTTTTGATTTTCTTTCTTTTCTTAAACTTTTGATTCTCTATTCACAACTCTGAAGGACTTTCTAGGTTCTTCAGATCGACTGTTTCTAAGGAGAGATTGCCTACTTATCCTTCACAAGTATTCATCCTTGGAAATGTCAGGAGAAAACTGACTTCATCTTTCTACTTTCCATTTTTTCCCCTGAACAAATAGCTCTGGAGGAACAAACTCCTCTAAACACATCTATGAAGAGATTTGCACCAAATAATGCCAGTCTGCTGGTTGTGATGGGATTAGTGAAGACATAACCTTCTAAGTCGAGCATAGGCTTCTTCATTTGATTTGTACAGTACCTTCAGACCACTGTGACAGCTAGACAAAATGACACTCATCAACTGCACTTGGCATGTGCTGAGTTTGTCTATAACTACAATTTGGATATTTACACTGACTTTGGTGGATGACCTTGGTCAGTTGGACACCCACTCTGTAGAATCCATTATCTGCTCCGACTCAGGGAGGGAGTAAAGCCACTCTGCCTGCCTGAATGCAACCTTCAACTTCAAAGTAATGCAGTTTTCACTAAAGGCTGTAGGAGTGAAGTACAGGTGGGGATAAAGCTGGGTAAAATTGTAAAACTGACCTTTGCACAGTAAGCTGTTCTTGACTTGCGAAGGCATCATGATGTGAAACATGGTATGAATTTTCAATCTGAGCTTAAAAGAGGTGAACTGCCTCAGAATTCGGTTCCCTTAGTAAACAGTAGATGCAATGAACAAAGGTATTTTCCTTATTTTTCAAGATAAATGTTAGATAAACTCAATTGTAGAAGAATGTTATTGTTAAGTGTTATAGAGTTGGCTTGACTCATAGTGACCCTGTGTAGGGTTTTTGAGGAGCAGCTGGTGAGCTTGAACCACCCACCTTGCAGTTCAAACTCGACTTTATCCTATAGAGCCACACCAGGACTCCTGTAGAAGAATACTGGCTGATAAAGCCCCAAGAGATAGCCTTACTCTTTCGCTTTTAACATCAGAATGTTTAAAGCCTTATTTATGGACAAATTGATAAACTTTAGCTGCTGACTCATGAAACCTCAGAAGATGATCACATCATTATTATTTCCTTTAGGTACACTACAAAAAAGGTTTGCCTGCTTTAAGGGGTCACATACTTGCTGCGCTGGGATTATATTCCTTGTAATCCTGAAATGCTCTAAAATCAACTTTTCAAAATGTGTCAAACAATCATTCTGTTCAAGGAAATCCACTTACCAAATCAATTTTATTTTACTCAATCTACCAATTTTAAATCCATTCCAATACCTGATATGGATTAAATTGTCTAATTACTAAATCCTATTGACTTTCAGGCTTAAAAATATTTGCTCCATTGGTTGACAAGTTATTAAATTGATTTGACTGGTCAGTTTTAAAATTGGTTTTCTGTTGTTCACATAGCCAGTTTTCTTTACAGACTAGCCTTGTATCAGGCTCTGGGACTGTTGTAACAGTTTCTTACTAGGAAATGGCCTTATTTCCCCACCAGTCTTTCTTAGAAATGTGTTCTCCACAATCATTATATCTAGAATGATGTAATAGTTAAGGTTTTGTGTCAACTTGA